AGAGGCAGCGCGGGGGGCGGGGGAGGGGCCGGGCCCGCTGCCGTGGGCCGGCCTCGGGCGGAGGCTGCTGTCGCCCAGCAGTGCCCCACCCCTGCGCCGCCCCACGCGGGAGGCCGAGCTGGGTCCCAACTTGCGCGAGAAGACAGGGCACAACTGGGGCCTGCTCCCGCTCGCATCCGTCCTGAGCCCGGGGAGGAGCCGGTGCAGGGCGAGAAGGTGACCACGCTACGGTCCCTGGTCCTGAGACGGGGAAGGCCCAAGGTCGTTTCATCTGCCTCCGGGCGCCGAGAGGGCAGGGCAGGGCAGGGCGGGCTGAAGCAGACCGCACCCAGGGGCTGTGGGCTCCTACAGGGCACGGTGCTGCACATCCAGCACGCACCTGTCCTGGGAGGATGGAAGCACAAGGAAGGCAAGAGCCCAGCAAGGCTGCAGGAGGCTGTGAAAACCCCTCAGGTGCAAGAGGAAAGCGTGTGGCAATGGAAGGACGCGCAGATCACCCGGGACGCGGACAGGAACTGGCCAGACCTCCAGGGCAAGACCCGGAAGGCAAAGGTAGGGGCTGAGCTGCACCTGGCGGGGGGGGCACGGACAAGGTGTTGGCAAGAAAAGGACCCGGGACGCTGTTAAGGAGCCAGGGAACTCAGAACCGAAGAGGCGAGGAAGGTGGAGCTGCTCCACACCTACGTTGCCTCAGCGTTCACAGAAAAATGACGCTGTAGCCAGACAGCCGGTGGGGATCATCCGGGTACAGAAGGAAAAAGCTGAGGGAGGAGATGAGAGATGGGCCGAGAGCTTTGGATAAGTCAGAGTGAGTTCAGGCAGCAGGGCCGGAGGAGCCTCAGCGCAGGGTCCTGAAGGAAGGGGCAGAGACACCAGAGCCCTCAGCAGTGATCTTCACCAGCTGTGGGAGATGGGCCGGGCACCAGGTGGCTGGAGAAGGGCCAGCGTGGCACCCCTCTTCCAAAGAGGCAAGGAGGGGGACGCAGGGAACTGCAGAGCGGTTTGTCTCACTGCAGTAGCTGGGAAGTGACTGGAGTTTCCTGAGGAAGGCCACTGCAGGCATCTGGGGGAGGAAAGGCTGATCCCAAGAAGGCAGCATCCATTTATGGAAAGCAAATCGTGCCAAATGACCCTGGTTCCCTCCTTTGACGAAGTATCTGCTTGGGTGGATGAAGGGAACGCTGGGTGTTGTGTGTCTGGACTTCAGCCAGGCTTTTGCCCTGGGCCCATACGACCATCTCAGAAACGGCGAAACGTGGCTGCTTAAAGCTACTACCAGCAATTATTAATGAGTCCATACCAGAATGGCAGGAGGTTTCAAGTGGAGTCCCCCCATGCGATTCTACATGTTTAATAATGATTTAGATGCTGGCATAGAACATTTCTTGAGCATGTCTGCGGATGACAAGAAACTGCGGAGGACTGGGATGCGAGCACAATTCAGAAGGAATTGGGCTAGAGCAACAGGATGCAGCTCAGTGCAGACATGCAAGGTGGTGCACCTCACGAGGGATAATCCCACACACAATTACCAAGTGGGGGACACCCGGCTGGACAGCACCTCTGTGGAAAAGGACTTGGGAGTCTTGGCAGAGCACAGACTCAATGCAAGTCTGCAGTGCAGTGCAGCTACACAAAAGGCAAACGCAGTTTCGGGGTGCATCAATAGGAGCATTAGGGGCCAGACCTGGGAGGTGAGGGTACCTCTAGATGAGGCCTGAACAGGGTCGAGTAGAGAACTGTGCGCTGTTCTGGGCTCCGTGTTTTAAGATGACATGGAGAAGTTGAAGGTCCAGAGGCGGGTGACAAAGATGATGATGGGCTTAGAAGGCAAGTCCTACAAGAAAAGGCTGAAGGAGCTGGACACGTTCAGCTTATGGAAAAGGTGCTAAGGAGGGGGAATGGGAGCAGTCTGCAAATACCGGCAGGGCTGCCATGAAGAGGGAAAGCACCTCTTCTCTCTTGCTGCAGAGAGGAGGACACAGACCAATAACTTGAAGTTGCAGCAAAGACAGTTTAGATTGGATCTCGGGAAACACTTCTTCACCATGAGAGCAGGGAGGCAGTGGAACAGATGCCAGGGAAGGGGTGGACTCTCCATCACTGGAGGTGTCCATGAACAGCTTGGACAGGCACTGGTCCAGGGTGCCCTTAAGCCTCCCTCAGAGGCACTGGGTGTTGGCTACGGACTGGGCGGTGCCAATGCTCAGATGATGGCTTGTCCGGGCCGGTTTGGACAGGACTGACTCTGCCTCAGGCAGGGGCTGGAGTAGCTGTGACCCCTGGAGGTCCCTCCCAGCCCCACTTCTCTAGGATTCTATGATCCCCTGGCAGCAATGGAGCAGGGTGGCAGGCAGGCCCAGGGATGCCTGTTTGGGGATGGGAAGGGCAGCAGCGCAAGGCTGAATGGTGCACAGCACCTACCTGACTTGGGTGAGGCTCTTGGCACCAATGTCCTGGCAGGAGTGCTGGATACCAGCAATCAGGTACGGAATGAACTTGTGGATGGAGCCCTTGTCCTGCACTGCGCCCGAGACCCCCTGTGCCACTTTGATCTTGTCTGCCTCGCTGCAGCGGGAGGAAACAAGGAGGCTGTCATAGCCTGGCCCAGGGCTGCCCGAGTCCCTGGGTCCTGCGCCAGGCGAGCGCTCCTACCTGAAGTACCGGTTCTGGCTGCCTAGGTTCTTGTCCATGGCGTCCAGCGACCCCATCCCTCGGTATTTCTTTAGCCGGATCCCATCCGAGAAGAAGTACTCACCAGGGGCCTCCGTGGTGGCAGCCAGGAGGGAGCCCATCATCACTGCAGCCAGAAAAAGAGCAGCAGGTCAGCAGAAGTACAGGCAGCACAGTGGCCCAAGGTGGCACTTAGTGACCTGGAGCAGGCTGAGGGGCTCCTGCGTGCCACTGCATCCCAGTGGGGCCGCAGGATGTAAGGGGGCCAGACATGCAGCAGGTGCTGGGAGAGGGCTGCATAGTCCTGCAGAGGCACCAGGGAAGGACTGCTCCCCACCCATGGGGGAAAGGAGGTGGGGGCCTCTGGAGCCTTGTTCTGGCTCTGATAGGGCAGGAGCTCAGCGCCATGAGCAGATCAGTCTCCAGGCATCTGACTGAGCCCACCCCTGGGCAGGGCAGTCTTAGGGGAGCCCGAGCTGGGTCTGTAGGATCTGCTCACAGGCCCGGGGCTCTAGGAAGGCTGCAGGGGGTGCCAGATATGGGCTGATGCCCAGAAATCCAACATCAGGGCCAAGCTCCCCGCTCACCTGTGGAGGCACCAAGTGCAAGGGCCTTGGCGATGTGGCCCACTGTCTGGATCCCTCCATCTGCGATCACGGGCACCCCAAACCGTCGTGCATACTCGGACACCTTGTACACAGCTGTGGCCTGGGGCCTGCCACACGCCAGCACTAGACCCAGGGAGAGAGGGGTGGGAGCTGTCAGCCCAACCCCGCCACGGCTCCCTCCCCACAAGGCGCACAACCTTCTCACATGCGCACTCACATGGACAGGGTCCTGCCTGGGGAGACCCCCAGGCTGCTGCTCCCAGGACGAGCAGCAGACGACTGCGGAGAAGCTGCATGGGCCCCTCCACCCCTGAGGGCTTCTGGGGGGTTGTGGGGCTGTGCCAGCAGCCTGGGCACGGCAGGGGGCATAGCCGCAGGTCAGTCAGGGGTCCCAATTCAGCGTCTGGTCAGGCCCAGAGGGGTGGGGATGGAGAGGGTGGAAGGGCCAGACCAAGAACTCCGCGAGTCCCCAGCATGTCTACAGCCCACCGCCCGCCCCAGCCAGCAGCCTCCCGACGCTCACAGGGGTAGAGGGAGGGGAGCCCTGCCACCTCCAAAGGCAGGAGAAGAGACAGAGGCAGGACGCGGCGAGGGCATGTGGGGACTGGAGCTCCCCTCCCCCTCCCTCCGTGCAGCCACAGCTCTCACGTGCAGCCACCAGCATGTGCCAGGAGTCATCAGGCTCAGATTTACCGGCACTCTCCCCGGATTAGCAGTCACGGGCCCTTGAGGACAGAGGCACATTGATGGGGCCCCCATTCCCCAGAGGCTGCTTCCCCATGGCAGTTAGTGCAACAGAGCAGAGATCACGAGCATGCATGATTAGTGATCCAGTGCAAGTCTCAGGGCTGGTGCAGGGTCCCGGCTGCCCCAGGGGCCGGCCAGCTCCTGGGCACTGCGCCCTGCTGCACAGCTCCTCATGTCAAGCACTGGCAGCCCGGACTAGGAGCCTGACTACAGGCAGGAGCTTCAGCAGAGGGTGTTCTTCCCAGCCGCACCCTGGCCAGCCATGGAGAAGCACCTGGCAGCAGCAGTGTGAGGCTGTTAGTACTGAAGGGGTGGTCTATGCTGGTGCCGTGCTGCCACAGGCTGGGCTGAGCCCCAGTCTGCATGGGCAACAGCCCCCGATGGAACCGGGGCCCCCCCAGCAATGCGGCAGGTCTGTGGCTGCAACATGACAGCGATGGCAGAGACCAGCCCTTTGTGACTGAGCTTCTGGCACTGGGGGTGGGAGCACCCAGCACCAAGGCTCTGGGGCAGGTATAGGCTTCCAAAGCAGGGTTCAAGATGCGCGCGCGTGCTGGCCTGGGCTTGCAGGAGAGCCGGCTCCTCCCAGATTGCACTGAAGGGGCGCCACGTGGGGACCTGACCCCAAGCCTCTCCCTGTCGTGGTGCATCAGTGAGCCAGAAGGGGAAAGGCCCCTCAGCCCCTCCTTGCTCTTGTCAGGGCAGGACTCCTTCCACACTCCTGGCCCCGGCATCCCTGGGAAAGCACCTGGAGCTTCCCTACCGTGGTGAAAGCCCACCTTATCTCTGTGCAGGCTAGCTCAGCACAGCTTAGCTGCTGCTGCTCCAGTCCTCCTGCCAGTGATGCCAGGGGAAGGGGCTCTGCCAAGACATTGCTCCATCCCCACATTCAAACCCCTGCTGCAGCATCAGAAGAGCTAGAAGGGAGCTCAGCTGAGCTCTGACCTGGGGTCTGGAGCTGCAGCTCTGCATCCTGCTCTGGACCACCAGAACCCTGCTTTAGAGACTCGGGAAGGCTCCTTGGCTTCCGCTGGGGGCGACACCAGTATCCAAAGCCACAAAACCCCAAGTGCGTCTACCACTAAATTATTCTCAAACAAGCAGAAGGGCCAAGTGCAGCCAAATCAGGGTCTTGCTTCTAGACAGAATTGGGGTTGGGAACAGGGCAGGTGACTTACTATAGGTGCCCGTGACAGTAGAAGGGCATTTGGGGCTGTGGGACTTTAGGTCTGGAGGGATCTTTGGAGCAGCTAAACAGAAACAAACACACACAGTTTAGAAACAGCAGCAGCAGCAGCAGGAGGGCCCCGGTGGGGGCGAGGAACTGGGTGGAGCTGCGGCCTCGGGGACAGCAGGCTTCGGGGCAGGAGCTGCTGGGCTGGGGGCAGGATGTGCCTTGCAGCACCAGCCCCGCAAGCACCTGGCGCTGCTCTGCCCCGCCCCGAGGGTGCCGCTTTGGGGGCTCCCTGCTCACACAGTGGTTCTGCACCCATGTCCGCTGGGGACTTCAACTGCTCTGCCCCCACCCTGCCCTGACATTGCTAGCTTCAATCAATGGGAGCCGGTGGAGGGAAGCTCAGAGCTGCTGGTCCTGAAAGGGCCAAGCTGAGGCCCCTGCCAGCACAGCAGGACAGGGAGGCTCCCAAGTAAGACATCCCTACCACAAGACCCATCCAGGCCCGCTGCGGCAGGCTACTCTGCTCAGACAGCTACAGTGAATGAGGCAGCCTGCACACAGCCTGGGGCTGCTTCCCTGGACACCAGCCTCAGCCCGACACTCAGCCTGTCCCTGGCAGCCTGCAGCGCAGCCAAGAGAACCGGCAGTGCCTGGCCTTGCCTGCCATGACACTCAAGCCTCCCCTGGCCTGGCAGGGGCCTAGCAGCTCCCTCCACTCCTATACATGGTTTTCCAGGCCACGAGGCTCTTGCTGGCTGCTGTGGATGCCACAGGTAGGCACTTGGGGATGACACCCTCCTTGCTGCTGCCTCCTCGCCCACATTGGGTCCCTCATGACCACTGCCCACGTTCCCTACAGTGGTGCCACCCCCTGCACCCCTGCTGTCTCTGGTCTGCAGCCATGCCCGCTCTGCTGAGCTCTTGGCCAGCGCCGGGAAAGGCCCTTTCTGCTGCTACGAGCCCAAAGGTTTGACCCCAACAACCACAACCAAGCAAGAGCTGCTGGAAAAAGAGAGAGAGAGAGAGAGAGAGAGAGAGAAAGGAGAGCACAAAAGAGGGAGGGAGGGAGCGGAGAGCAGATGCGTGCCCTGGGAGGAGGGTCACAGCTGTCACCAGGGGCCGGCTGGCCCTGCAGCACAGCCCCCACCCGCCCACGAGCGCCAGGGGCTGCCAGCTTCACCAGGTCCCCAGAGGGGTGCCCCACATTCAGCTACTGTCTCTGCTCCTCTACTCACGCGGGAGACATGCAACGGCTTCGGTACCTTCCTGTGTGATGCAGATGGAGCCGCTGCCCATCCCAACCCTCAGCGCATCCACCCCAGCGTCGATCAGGTTCTTTGCCTGGGCCGCCGTCACCACTGGGGAACAGAGCACTGTCACATGGCTTTCTCCACTGCCTGTGGCTGTCACCTGCCACACGCCTCAGGCTGGAGAGCCAGACCTGCCTCTCTGCTGTTCCTGAGCTCACTGCCAGTATGACAGGCTGCGGAGGGGTGGGGGAAAGAGGCCCACAGCAGGCAGCAGTCTAGGATTGGGACAACTGGAACCCCAGCATGGTTTAAACCCACGCAACTGAGCTGCGTGAAAGGGCCACAGCTGGGGACTGCCCCTCAACCTCGCTGGGTCCTAGTAGCTCTCAGTGAATGGCTTGCTCTAAAACCGCTCCTGGCATTTGCAGGGTGGCTTCACCACTACACCAGAATGAGGGAACTCAGCAGGCACACCTCCGCCTGCCCCGCCGAGTCCCACTGCTACAAACTCCCTTGCACCTGAAAGCAGCTAGGCCTAGAAGCCAGGCCAGTGCAGGGAGGTCCTTACCGTTGCCACCAATGACCTGCAAGCTGGGGTACTTTTCCTTGATGTACTTGATCATGTTGATTTGGAAGATGGAGTTCCCCTGAGAGGAATCCTGGCAGAGAGAGCACAGAGCAGGCTGACCAACGAGCCCTGCAAAGCCCCACCAAGCCGGGTGTGATGGGGACACACCGTATGTGGTGGCGCAGGGCTCAGCAGAGATGGCAGCTCTGGAACAGAGAGCCCGAGGCTGCTTTGATCGAGGTAATTAAACGACACATCAAGACCACTGCTATTTAGCAGTCTGTGGAAGAGCGCAAGGAAGGCAAGCACGTGACTTTTTTGCAAGTCTGGTCAAGCCAGAGGAGGAGCCAAATGTGCCGTCTCAAGGCTCGCAGCCCACCCAGGTGCTCACCAGCACGACGACGTCCACGCTGGACTGCACCAGGAGGTCAAGGCGGTATTTGTCGTCCTCGTGGGTGCCAATGGCTGCCCCACACAGCAGCTGCTTCTTGGCATCCTTTGAGGCCAGCGGATAGTCACGGTTCTTCTTCAGGTCTGTGCGGGCAATGATGGCTACCAGCTCGTCATCCTCGTTAACGATGGGCAGCTTGCCTGGAAACAAGCACAGACATGCCACTGCCACTGGGCTTCCCAAGAGACAAACATCTGCACATCGGCCCTATGAAGCACAGGTCCCCCTTGCAGGAGCCCAGCTCTGGGCCAAGGGCCCCAGCTTTAAGTGAGGCTGCAGTCCGAGCAGGCCCTACAGCATTTTTGCACAGATGAGGGTATAGCGAGCAGGGTATAGTGTCAGAGACCTGCCATCAGGACACCCTCAGTGTTTGCACTTTGTGGCCTGGAGCTGGCAACAACCCCTTGGGTTCAGGACAGATGCGAGGGGGGCAAGTACAGCTCCCTGGTGCAACCTCAGGGGCGCCCCATGCGCTTGCCCGTGTCTACCCTACCACCACAGTTAGGCAGCCACATGCCTGGAAGGCCCTGCATGGCCCTTGACTCTGGGCAGACTTTCCTGTCCTGTCCTTGTGCACAACCCAGGCCAGAGGAGCAGGAAAGCATTTCTACACACGTGCAGGAGCATGTGCTCCCACATGCTATGCCATGCATGGCTTCCCCATGCCACACAGATGGCCCTAGGTACCTTTTTTACTCCTCTGTAGAATTTCGTTTGCTTCTTTCAACGTGACCCCTGCAGGGGCCACGACAAGATCCTCCCGTTTTGTCATGATCTAAGAAAGAAAGGGAGGGAGCAGGCGTGAAAACCCTGCCCTGCCCGACCAGAGACGGAGCCAGCCTGTCTCATGGAGGTGCCCCATGACAGACTGCAAGAAGCTGTGGGCCCCTGGTTGTCCCCCATGCGATGGTATGGGAAGGGAGCCTACAGCACGTGGGGAATGTACGGCTCAGCCTCCTGCCCCCACCTTGCCACAAGCCGGGTGGGCTCAGACCCAGGGGAGCAGCAGGGCACAGCCTCCACGAGCACGTTGCTTGAAGCAGATGGAGGGGCCCAGGCTACGGCCAGCTCAGCAAGATGGCCCAGGACAGGGAAGGGCCTTGCTCGCTCCTCGGGATTCCAGCAGCACAGGCTGCAGACCCAAGCACCCTGGACAGACTGTAACAGGCAAATGCGGGACAGGGCCCCAGCTCTTCCTGGCATGTGTCCCCACAGCTGGGCAGGCGGGCTGGCAGACAGCACTAGGGGCAGGCTGGCCTTTGCCGGACTCTGCCTGGAAGCGTTCTGTGCTTCTGGGAAAGCCGGGGGCGAGGGGCGGGCATGACAGGTTCTAAAACAAACACACCTGCCCACGCACGTGCCGACAGCCAGGCCCAACACGCACTCGTACACTGCCCTAACACACAGCTTGGGGGCACGGGGGAAGGCAAGCTGTCCGACCCAAAGCCAAGGCAGGGATAGGCTCGTTTAGCCTCAGGCAGCAAGAACAGGGGTGCCAGAGGAAGGGGCCACGAGCACAACAGCCGGCCGGCAAGGACGGGCGCAGTTGGGCCTGGAGAGGCCCCGCAGGCTTCCCCGCGGCCTGTCCGCTGCATCGCAGGCTGCAGTCCGGGGCTCCCGGATGGCCGCGCGCAGCCCTGCCCGAGAGCTGCGTGCCCCCGCAGGGACGCGGGCCTGGTGTGCGGCCCAGGCAGGCAGCAGGCCCGCTAGCTCCTCCGTGGCTCCCGACAGGAGAGCAAGCAGCGCCAGCTGGAGCTAAATATAGCCCCGAGTCAGCAGGCAGCTCCGAGGAGCGCGGCACGCTGCGCCCCGACAGCCCCGCGGCTCCGGTTACAGCCCGCAACGGGCGCTGCCAGCGACCGAGACACCGCCCGCCCCACCCGGCACCGCTCCGCTGCGCGGGGCCGCCGCTGACCTCGCTGAGGGGCAGGTCGTGCTCCAGCTCCTTCAGGAAGTCGATGTCCCGCGAGGAGATGATGCCCACCAGCTTGCTGCCCATCTTCCCGTTGTCCGTGATGGGGATGCCGCAGAACCCGTGCCGCGCCTTGGCTTCGAACACATCGCGCACCCGGTCCCTGGGGCTCAGCACCACGGGGTCGGTGATGAAGCCCTGCTCGTATTTCTGGGAGGGGCGAGGGGGGAGGTGAGCGCCGCGCAGGCCCAGGCCCAGGCCCAGGCCCCAGTCCCGGCCCCAG